GTCATATATATCAGCCTTGACCACTACTCATGTTCAATGGGTTTCATGGGACTTAATGGTAGTTTTCTTCACCCTTTACTTTAGACCTTGGGACCATGTGCTTCCAAGGTTGGGCCCCAATTGTCACTCAAGATCTTGTTAGTCAAATTTGGGCACCTCTTCATTATGTTTCTCGTCTTCATTCAACGCAAGAGGGATCTAGTGGTGGGATTCATTTGGGATATTGGACAGTCTTTCATTCATGATTTCTTTCAGTATCATGGGTTTCAATCCTGGGTTGGGCTTTCCCTTTTCTCCGCCTCTTTCCTCTCCTGCCTCTCTCCCCTTTTCTTTCTTTCTCTACCGTACGCACTTGGCGTATTGGTGGCTTCTCAGGTTTGTGTTTTGGGAGGACCGACCTTTCAAGGCGCTTCATCATCATCATCATCATCACAGCCCTGTGTCAAGTGCCCTCTGTTTGGAGGGGGCCGCGTCGTCTGGCGCGGGGGGGGCTCGGGCGGAGCGGGCGGGGGTGGTCTCGGATGATTCAGACTAGCCTGTTTTGCTTTTCTTGGCCTCGGCGTCGCCGTCGCCGCTTGCTGCCGCCGCTGGCGGCCGCCTCCCTGCGCGTGATGAGCAGCGAGGACGCGCCAGGCGCGCCCTGCTGTTTTCCGCGCGCCCTCTCTTGCTAGCCTAGGGTTGTTCGTTCCCGCGGACGACATCTTAGTCGGCGCCCGCCGCGACCGCGCTGCCAGCGCTGTCAAAGAGGGGCCGCCGCCCTCAGCTTGCCCCCTTGGGGGCGGCGGACACATAGTTGTTCAGTCGGGTTCTAGTGACTCACATGCGCCAGTGTTGGCTCGCTCGCTCGGCGCCGCCAGCGCAGCTTGTGCGCCGCGGCTGACGCCGTGGACCAGGGGCAGGCTGAGGCACTGTCGGCAGAGCTCGAGCTCGCTCTTGACGGTCCATTCAGCGGAGTCTTTGGCGGAGGCGGAGGCGGAGGAGGAGGAGGAGGAGGAGGAGGAGGAGGAAGTCGCAGCCTGCATTTCAGCGGCCCCGTGGTGGCTGGACGAGGCGCCTGAACTGCTCTCCCGCAGCTTGCCGCGGGCCACTTGCGCCACGGGTGGAACGCCCAGCGGCCGCGCAAGAAAAATGAGGTCGCAGCCGTTCGCCCAAGTTCGCCGTGCCTGGAGACGAATCGGATTTGGCATCAGCTGACGATGGCGCCACACCAGGGGAGCGCCGCAGGCCTGCGACGGGTCGTGCTGGCGGGGGTCGGCGCGGTCGTGCCGGGCGTGTTGCTCCTGGGCGCGCCAGTGGTGCAGCCGTCGGTCCTCCCGATGGCGGTCGTCCTCAGTCGCTCTCAGTTTGGAAATGCCAGAAACAACGGGAAATACACGCAACAACAAGACAATGTAGAAACATAGCACTCCAAAACAACCAACCTAAACATGCGATTAGCTTTGTTTTACCGTTTTCAGCCTGTTAAAAAACCCAGGGTAGAAAACGCAAACAATTGGTCAGGGCGTTTTATATGGCGAACCAAGTCGTCCTTCCCGCCGCCCACAGCGCGATGATGAAGCCTTGATGGATGATGACGTGTCCCTGCGCACGTCTGTGGACGAGACAAAACACCACCAGTTCTCTGCCATCAGCGCCATCCAAAGCTCGGTCTTTCAGCTCGCGCACACGGTGCAGTCCAGCTGCGCCCCCCAGCAGGCTGCCCTCGCCCAAGCTCTTGATGCACGCACCTCAGACATGAAGAAGCACTGGGCATCATGCGCACCGAGACCCCGACAAAGTTCGAGGCCAATTCATCATTCCAGAGAGAGAGAGAGAGAGAGAGCCAGACCCTACCATCATTGCGCGCCGCCGCAAGTCGCTCGTATCCAAGACTGCGCTCGTGAACAGCTTAGACGAAAGGCTCCAGGCATTAAATTGCATTCCGCAGGATTTTGGTGTGGTTGTGGAACCGACATCGAAGCGTGTCACTCTCCACTCAGTAGCTCTCCCAGCCATGCCACTCGAAGGGCCGGCCCCTCCTGGCGAACGCGCAGGAGGTCGAATGGAGTCGTTGGCGCGTTTTCTCGGCAGGGTGGGGCCCCTGTCGTCGCACTCAGCACTTACATGTACTTCGTGGAAGGCGAGGACATTGCTTCACACAAATTTGCGTTGCAGAGGTAGTGATTTGCGCGAGCTATCCAAGTTGATCTCGCCAAGCTCGAGCGTTTCTGTTTAGGAGTTTTGCGGAGGTCGGTGCCGGGTCGATGATTATCTTTATGATCTGCGTCCTCACGTCCTACCATGAGATTCGCGCGGTCCACCATATTCGCCCGCACGAGTTTGTGTCCGAACGCTGGGAAGGCAGCGGCGGCAGCACCCGCCTGGCGAAACCGCTTACATGTCGGCCCCGTCGGGCACCACAGACGGCCGCAGTGGCAGCGCCCGCAGGGCGGCGCTGCCCCAATTTCGACGCACTCACGCCTTTCGCGCCCCAGGGATCTCCACCAGTGGCCTCAGCGGCAGCACCCGCATGGCGGCGCCACCTCAAGTTTTGGCACATCCTTCGCACGTGTTGCGGCACCAGACAAGGCCTCAATGACTGGCGACAAACCCCGCATGGCGCCGTCGTTTCCACGTCGGCACAACCCAGACACGCCTCGTGCCCCCCATCGCACTCGCTGCGAGCTGCCAATCAGGTCAGAGAGAGAGATAGAGAGAGAGAGAGAGAGAGAAAGAACAAAAGAAGCAAAGAGAGAGAGAGAGAGAGAGAGAGAGAGAGAGAAAAAACAAAAAAAAGGAGAGAGCCGTATGCTGCGTTATTCGCACCTGCATCGGGTTGGGTCGTTCACCAGGCGGAGTGTTGCCTTCGGGTGGGTGCTTTTGCATGACGCTCGTATGCTCGCTGTTTTTGTTTTCGGCGCGTCCAAGGCAGCCCAAAATGCCTCCTACAAGTACCCAAGCCGGCCTAAGAGGGGCACAAGCCGGCATAAGAGAATTCCAAGACGCCCCCCAAGGGCCCCCAGAGGCTTTCAAGACGGCCCAAGAGAGCCTAGGCGGCTCAAGGCGGCCCCATGACGGCCCCAGGAGCACCTCAACACCGCCTTCGTTGGACCAGGATGGCCCAGGAGGTCACTTGACGGCTCGAGAGACCCCCCAAGACGCCTCCAGTATGTGTGCGTGTACGTGTGCGTGTGCGTGCGCGTGGGCGTGGGCGTGGGCGTGGGCGTGTGCGTCTGCGTGTGCGTGTGCGTGTGCGTGTGCGCGTGGGCGTGCGTGTGCGCGTGTGCGTGCGCGTGCGCGTGCGCGCGTGCGCGTGTGCGCGTGCGCGCGTGCGCGCGTGCGCGCGTGCGCGCGTGCGCGCGTGTGTGCGTGTGTGCGTGTGTGCGTGTGTGCGCGTGTGCGTGTGTGCGTGTGCGCGTGTGCGCGTGTGCGCGTGTGTGCGTGTGTGCGTGTGTGCGTGTGTGCGTGTGTGCGTGTGTGCGTGTGTTCGTGTGTGCGTGTGTGCGTGTGTGCGTGTGTGCGTGTGTGCGTGTGTGTGTGCGTGTGTGCGTGTGTGCGTGTGTGTGTGGGTGTGTGGGTGTGTGGGTGTGTGGGTGTGTGGGTGTGCGGGCGTGTGGGCGTGTGGGTGTGTTGGCGTGTGGGTGCGTGGGTGCGTGGGTCGTGGGTGCGTGGGTGCGTGGGTGCGTGGGTGCGTGGGTGCGTGGGTGCGTGGTTGCGTGCGTGCGTGCGTGCGTGGGTGCGTGCGTGCGTGCGTGCGTGCGTGCGTGCGTGTGTGTATGTGTGTGTGTGTGTGCGTGTGTGTATGTGTGTGTGTGTGTGCGGCGCATACCCTGCCGCCAGGCGTCGCTCGCTTGCTCGGGAAAGAGTGCGCACAGCGCAGGCTGGCGGGCGCCCCCGCGGCTCTCCGACGTGTATGTTTTAGGGCTCGCGCCCGTCCTGCCCTGAGACCGACGTCATGGTGGGAACGTCCTCTCGCCGAGGTGTCGCGTGCTTGCGCCATGCCGCCACGTTGCCGCCGCCCCCCCGAGGTCAGCGTGCCAGTCTCTGGCCCCCTGCGGCCCTGCTCGGACGGGAGGTATGCTGGCATATGAGCAGCGGGAGTGCAGCGGGAGCGCCTGCCCGCGGCGCGGCGGGCCAGGATCGCGCTGGCTTTGCTGATGCACAGGGTGGGCGAGGCACTCTATCTCTGGGGGGCGCCCCCCCCACCGATGCCCCCGCGTCGCTTGTTTCGTGCTGTTTGTGGAGTTGCACCCACAGGCAATTTTGCCCAGCCTGTTGACTCACCGACTGGCCGCGCTGACCTTAGGTCACACCTGTGCATGATGCAGGCTGGGCCTCTGTCCCCTACAGTGGGGACCCATGCCAAGAAACACCCTTCTTGCCTCCAGGGTGCCCTGGGCTTCTCGGGGTTTCGATGGTGTTGCGAAAGCGTGACGTTCCCACACCCCAAAGATCAGAGGACGCGCCGGGGTCTCAGGGTTGGGTTTCGTGTGGAAGGTTTCTTGTGGACTGGCCTCCATTGTCGGGGGCGGCAAAGAGCGGGGCGATGACTAGGTGGCGTTGGATATTATGGCGTGTGCCATGAAATCTCCCCATATTTCATGGCGCCGCTTCTTATTCCATTGCGTCCCTGGCCCCCCCTTGGGCCGTGCACATGCCGCCGGCCATGATTTGCACCCTCCCTCTTGGACGCCCCCCTCCTTGGCCGCCCCCGACACTGGGTGGCGACATCCGAACCCTACCCCCACGAACCATCGATTCTCCTGATTCCTCGATCGATCGATCGACGGAAAGCGTGACGTTGTAATTGCGACGGAAAGCGTGACGTTCCCACACCCCAAAGATCAGTGGGCGCGCTGGGGTCTCAGGGTGGGGTTTCTTGTGGAAGGTTTCTTGTGGACTGACCCCAACTGCAGGTGGCGACATCCGAACCCAACCCTCGCGAACCATCGATTCTCCTGGGCCCTCGATCGATCGATCGATCGACGACGCCGTCGAGCCTCGGCGCCCTCCTCGGCCAGGCGCCCTCGAGGGACTTCTGCGGCTGCAGGAGTGCCAGCTCGAGCCGCTCGGGCAGTCCCGGGGCGTGTTCTGCCACAG